GTGTGTGTGTGTGTGTGTGTGTGTGTGTGTGTGTGTGTGTGTGTGTGTGTGTGTGTGTTTCATAGCAAGTGTTCTGTCATCAAATTTCTTTTCTAATATACTGCAGTTTGGAATTTGCTTCTCCCTTGCTTAGAATGCAGATGCCTTGCAATGAAAACTACTAAATAGGGAAGAAGCTAAGGCAGAGAAAAGTTAGTAAAGAACATTCCTAGTTTTCATCTGTGGAAAATGACCCTTGAAGGGTTGTTCAGAAACTACATTAAGCTGCACTGAAACCCTCCAATGTCCTTGTCAGAAAAAATCAGCTTGAGTTTCCGTTGACAAGAGAGGGCAGAGCTCACCGTCTGCCCAATGCTGCTATAAAGCGCCTCGCAGCTCCAGAGAGGTCTGATGTGCCGCAGAGACGTGGGGCTTGGGATGGCATCGGGGTTCATGCTCCAGCCTCGAATGTGCTCTGAAATGTCATTTCCTACCCCGGTTTGGTCAAGTCATTAATAAGGTGCACGATGAAATACTTTTCATTAGCACTTCCCCAGTTATCAGTCACCCCCAAGCCTTGTTTTGCCGGCTGCTTACTGGTGCATTTAATAAAATAAAGATCACTCAGTGGTGCAGTGGGCAGCAGGCAAGGTGATAGCCGTGTTTGCTTACTGTAAATACAAGCGGAAATCACACACAAACCGGCTGTAGTTTTGACAAGTATTAAGATCCCTCTTTACATCTGTACTTCTGTACCAAAGTGCAATTAGTTTTCCTCGCACAAGGATTTCTGTTTATCTTATTCTGCTTGATTACTTGAGTATAATCGCACCGTTTGCTTCATTGCTCCTGGTAGTAAGCTCCAGTTTAAAAAGGGGAGGATGCGTGTGTAAATATACAGAATTCTGCTGTCAGACTCTCTAATTTATGCATCTGATGACAGCGTTTTCTCAATTTTTTTCTTTTAATTTCCTTTCTGCAAGGTTTGATTCACATACACCAGATCCCCCGGCTCAATAGCCTGATTGGCGATGTGTCCGACACGAAGGACCTTGCTTTCAAACTCCAAAGGAAAGTCTTCACCATTGAGGTAAGAGACAGAAGCCCCTCTGCTTCTGTGTATTCTGAAAGGAAGTAGGGTCTCTGATCTTTATGCGTAATTGTAGGGAATACTTTGCATATTTCTCTCTTTTGTTTGGGGGGATGATTTCTGAACCCTTTTGATAGAGTTTTTGTCTTATTTTTGCTCTGTAAAAATGTTCATGATTTTACTATACAAAATCAGACAATTAATTTTTGGTTTTAAATATGTAAAAAAAAGAAAACAACCCTGTAAACTTTGGTAATAAATATAACCTGCTTACTTCCAAAGATATCCGGAGAAATTTTAATTAAACATGAATGATTGCTTGTGGGTGGGAAAGTAGCTCTTTGCTGTTGCCCTTATAGGGAGATTTTCATTTGTGAAAGATGCACCTCCCGGGCTGCAGGGCTCAGGGAGGAGTCGAGATCAGCATTTGGAAACCGTTTTTCTTCCCTGTTACTGAAGTCACCTTTAGCTCTTATGTGTCATTTTAAATGCAGTATCATTTACACCAATATCCTTAAGTAAATTTCTAAATTTTAACTTTTTTCACCGTGATTTTTATGTAAGCAAGTACTGACAGAAGGCAGTAATATAAAAGATTTATTTCAGCCTTATCTGGCAAAGAGCAGTGGAATATAGAACTATTAAGCTATATTTACCCATGAAATAAAGGCTTGAGAGACCAGCCAGACAGCATGGTGTGTGTGATGTGACAGTTATCGGTATACTGGGTGCTATTTTTTTTTTCCTTTTTTTTAACAAAGACATAAAACAGCCAGGCAGCCCTGACAAACCATTTTGTTTAATCTCTTTTCAAATGAAAAGCTTTTAAGCAGGCCACTTGTCTTAACTGCTTGAAACCATAAAAAGGGAGAATTGCCACCAATAAATTAGCATATTTTTTACTTCATCACCAAATGATGGTCAATGTGGCTTGGCACTGCTTTGGTGTTTGGGACTTCACCCTTAAGTGACCACTTTGGCCCTTCTGTGACCCTCTGGCCTCTTTAGCTGGCCACTTGATAAGGTAACTTAATGGTGCTCTCTCTTTTTCTCTTTCCCTTCGCATTTGCAAGTAGCACTAACCTATAAATCATTGTAAGGGCCCTATCAAGTGACAAATTAAGGTGCCCTCCTCCTAATTAATGGTCATCAATGTCCTTAATTATCTAATCCTATTGAGAGCAGTTAATAGTTAATCAGGCAGCCGATTCTTTAAGCAGGTCATCTCTGCATGAGTGCTAGAAGTTTCTCGTCTGAGGATATTCCCTTCAAAAACCACTTAAAGCCAAATGAAGGAGACCGTAGAAATAGTGATTCCTTTACTAATTTGTTTCACTTCTCAAGAGACTCTTGAAATAGAACCCAACACTATAATTGTTCAGGCATTGTTTCACTTCTGATACTTCTAAGATTTGTACCAAAATGTTTATGCAAGTTTTAGGAGGATGAAATTATAATTTTATTCTAGCATAGAAAAGTAGGCCTCATAATTTTCTTTTAAATTAAATTTATATTTAATAAGATTGATTTTTTTTTCTTAGCATGATCCCAACCTCACAAGATGATTTTTTTGACAGCCAGATCTAAGGTTGCCACTTCCTGTTGCTATAAAAACCTAGCCAGAAGGCCCCCTTTCAAAGTACTTTAGTGGCCCAGGGACAGAACAATATGTATCAGGGGTGTTCTGAACTCTTTGAAAGAAAGGAAGAAAGCTATTGTTCTGGAAATAGATAGATTAAACACTGAGATGATGTCAACCAACATATTTCAGATGGGTCTTCATTTGAGTAAGTTCAGCTCTTGGAGGAAATAAATTTTCTGCAATGGGAGCTGAAGATGAATCCAGGCTGTTGTCATTCTACCTGTAATGGATTTTGCCAGGGCGAAGAAGTGGTATTTTGAAAGGAGGTAAACAAACAAACGAAGAGCCTTTTGAAATTGCGAAGGCAAAAGTTATGCAGGACCCATCAAAATGGCATATTTAGCACATTTCTGTCTAACGGTCAAATCAGGGCCTTTTTATAGTTTGTAGCCATACAAAGTTGTGCATGAAGTACACCCCAAGCAATTTGTTTATCTGCACTACCATTTTCAGTGCGGCCATGAAATAAAAATATTCACATTAATTGGTAACTAATCCAATAGAGTGGTGTCAATAAATCATGCAATACACCTAAGATTAGATTGTGTCCTCAATATCATGTCGAAGTCGTATAGTATAACGTATACATCTGGAAGGATGACACCAAAATCTTTGTTGAACTCATATTTTTAAAACTGAGATAGAATTGGTTATGGTTTGAAAGTACATTTCTCAGGGATTATTATATTGAAAAAATAATTTAACAAGTGGCACATTTTTTTTTAATGTGGATCAAGTATAAATCCCTTTTAATTCCTGAGCTTGCTTTCTAAAGAAGCAAGCCCTGCCATGACCTCTGAAGTCTTCTTTAGTTTAAGCTGTAATATTCAGTAATGAGCCTGATGCTCCTTCTAAATGGAACATTGGCTCCAAGGAGAAAGATCTTTCTTCTCTCCATAGAGACAGTTGTTGCATAGGGCTCCTGGGCTAGGACAGAACCTCATCCCCAGTATCCCTTAGAGGACAGAATTGGGGAACGGGGGAAATGAGCCAGGAAATCCCCCAGCCTAAGAGTCTTTTGAACATCTTTTTCTCCTTTTTTTGAATCCCTACATCAGCCTTTACCTGTTTGTCCTTATGTATGTAAAAAAACATGAAAAAATCATGCGGTCATCTCACTCTCCTTTGTGGGAGACTGATTTTTATCAGGTCTTTCCTTTCATTAGAATGTAAGCTTCTGGAGGGCAGAACCTCTGCCATTCTGTCCTGTGTCTTCCAACCTAATGCCTTGCACAGATGCCTAGTCAGTGTTCACTGAACACATATTTTGGCAGCAGTCACTTGAAGAACTTGGCATTTCTTAAGTACTTACTTTGTGCCTGAGGGCTGTGTGTTGGGGCTACCAAGGAACAGCTAAAACCTGACTTTGAGGTGGTTTCCTGGGTAATCTGAAGCAGGTGGAGGGGAGCCTTTTTTTCTTGTTTGGTCTAGGAAGATATGGTCCAGTGTTCTCTCAAGCTTAAGTTGAAGAATCTGTTGGAATGTAATACACTCTATTCTCCAGCATTGTGTCAACCAGCACTCTCTAGAGTGATGATAATTTATGTTCCTAATAATACCAAGGAGCTGTGAATACTTAGATGAACTACGAAAAATGTCACAAGCCATACAACCCAAGACTGAGGCCTTTTGCTTTACCGTCTATGATGATTGATCCTGAGGAAATAGTTTTATTTAAATGTTCATAAATCTGTATTTGCTTAGGATTCTCTACTTTAACAATTACTGTGAACCCATTGTGACTATGAGGAAAAGGCTGTAGAAACCTTAAAGTGCTATAAAAATGTAAGATAATATTGTTGTTCCTAAAAGAAAATGAAATGTGATTTTAAAAGACAATTTAGCTCTCTACTTAGTCAATTTTGGACTGTTTCTGGGTTTTCATTTGCAAATGTCATTCAACCAGGCATTATTCCTACCTGCTATCATTATCATTTTCAAGATCCCAGCTTAACACGTTCTGCAGTTATCCCTTCCACATCATGGTTTTCCCCATCATGGTTTTCCCATCAGGGTTTTGATATATCACAGGTCAGCATAAGAAATTAAATGGAAGTTTGGGAGTTTTGCAGAAGCTGCAGATGACAGGCAAAGGCCAGCAGACAACACGGGAAAAGTTTAGAAACTCAGAATTGCATAAAATATATGTATAGTATTATATAATAGCAACATATTTTATCCTTTACTACCATAATAATTCAAACTTTATCTCTGGTACAAAGAGAGGGCCAGAAAATTTTACAAGGATTTTCCAGATCATGAGGACACCTTGCCCCTAAACCCCCACAATGTGGAAGGGATAACTGTAATAGTTTAAAATTGACACATTTCCACTAAAGTATTACTACAAAGCCTCGTGGCATGGAGTTCCAATTCCATTAGGTTCTACCAGGGCAAGTGCAGCAAGAAGTCAGATTTGTGTTGTTAACGAACCTGCAAACTTTTATTAAGTAGCTACCATGTGACAGGCACTGTACTAAGGATACAAAGAAAAGCAGAAAGTTCCTTCTCTCCTGGTGTTCACAGGCTGATTGTCTGAGTGCCGGACTAGCTAAAGGCAGAGATGCCCACCATCATTCTGAGATTCTAACTTTATATTGTGTATAGAAAAGTAAATGACACTCTGTGTATGTCTGTCTGTGTGTGTGTGTGTGTGTGTGTGTGTATGTATATATGACATTGCCATGTGATTTTAAACCAAAGATGAGAATATTAACTTATTTAAGGTATAAATATATGGGTCTGTTGGCTTAAGCAAAGCACGAGGAGAGTTCTAAGAATATCTGAATTAAACCTTATCTCAGCTTCAGAGGTTGCTTAATCATAAATTGACAGCAGCTGAGAAAGCCTCCCTTGATATACATATGCCATAAAAGAGAGATTCTATCCTAACTTTACATCAGTTAACAAATAGTTATTAAACTACTGTTGTTATAATAGAGGCAGCTAGGTGGCGCAGTGGATAGAGCGCTGGACCGGGAGTCAGGAAGATCTGAGTTCAAACATGGCCTCAGACACTTACTAACAGTGTGACCCTGGGCAAGTCTTAATCTCTGTTTGCCATAATCCACTGGAGAAAGAAATGGCAAACTACTCCAGTATCCTCACCAAGAAAACCGCATAGACGTTATTGGTTTGTGCAATGGTCTATGGTCACGAAGAGTTGGACACAACCAAAACAACAACAGTTTTTATAATGTCCCTACATAATAGAAATGATCCTGAAGATCTTTCTTTGTCCTGTCCACCCCTCCCTGCCCTGTCCCTAGCCCCACCACCACCATTAGTGCCTTCTCTTTGGGATCACCTTCCGTTTATATTGTCTATAGTCTATGTGTGCGTAGTTATTTACATGCTT